TTTTCACCTCCGGTGGCCGAAAGTGGTTAAGTGCAAGAATTTTTTAAGTTCAAGGGATAAAGTGTCACCGGAAAAAGTTGAGTGGCCAAAGTGTAAAAACGCGGATAGTTCGGTAGGCAAAGTGTAATTTTCCCTTGAATTTATGTGTCTAAGTGTTTATTTTTGCATAAATATTTTCATTTCATAAGTGTTTAATTTATATTACAAAGTGTGCTGTGTAAAGTGTTAACTTTTGTTTTTCCTAAGTCCTAAAATTTGGTTGTGTCAAATTTAGACCCTAAGTAAGCTAATTATACTAGTCCAAGCGAGCTCAACAGCTTCTTATTTTTCGGTCCAAGCAACCCAATTATCCGTCTCGGCCCAAATCCGAAGACAATCAGCCTAGGCTCCTCTAAAACCTAGCCCAAGAGCAGCATAATGTTCGGCCCAACACCAGCTGGCCTTATTTTCCCAAGCAGTCAGGCCCAACTCTCATTTTCAATCAAAGTCTTTGTGTTGTTTCTATTTGGCCCAAGAAGCTAGTTTAAGCCCATCTCCTTCATTTGTTCGAGAAGCAGAGCAACAAAACTCGCAAGAATCGGTCGCAGCTCAATAACCTCCATGATTTTTTGCCATTCCCCAAGATCCGGCGCGCATTCCCTCCAAGGTGAAACCCTAATCTCTCTCTATTTAAGCCCTCGACCGCCACTCTCAATTCTCCCTGAGTGCAAGTTCACGGAAAATCGCAGAAATCGCCCAAATGTTCCGGCCATGCGACGAACCAAGTAGTAGACTACCGGCGACGATTAGAACCAGGCAGCCCCGGCGACTCTGAGGAGCTGCACCCGACCGAGCATCACCAGACGTCCGACGGCGAGGAAGAACTTCTTTGAAGACCAGACCAGCGGCATGACGAGCCACTCGGTGCGGCATCTAAGAGCCACCAGTTCGACGGCGGAAATGCCAGCGTACGCCGACGATCACGAGCCAACTTTTCACGGTGACACGCGACCACCAAAGCTCCCAATTTTCCAGTGAGAATCTTCTGCCAGCGGTTAAATATCACCCAAGCGCGCTGGCAGATTCGAACAGGAGAGTGAGAAAAAGGATACGAAATTAATATTTCATGAGTACAAAATATTTAATGATTAAATAAAAACAAAATATTTAATAAAAAAAGAAATATAAACGAAATTAATATTTCATGAGTAATAAATTTTTTTTATTTAATGGTTAAATATTTAATAAAAAATGAAATATTTAATAAAAAAGAATTATTTTTTTTATTGAATACTTAATCATTAAATAAAAAATATTTATAACTCATTATAATTTAGTTTCTTTTTTAAATAATTTTTTTATTTTTGTTTTTTATCCCATGTAGTGGAATTTAAAGTTTTTTCTTATTTTTTTATATTATTTTGTAAAAAATTGCACGTCTACTAATTATATTCTCGTAGCACTTTCGTCCTTTATGTGTCCATGTGTCCAAACACTTGGGCTCATGTCGGGCCACATCATGCTGGAAATCAAAACTATGATCTGACTGGGCGCCACGTCAGCTATTCCGGCTAAAATGAACATCGGAATGTCATTTTAGACTAAAATTACCCAAAAATAGAGTTAGTGTACTAATTTTAAACCGTAAACAATTGAATGACGAAAGTGCATCGAGAGTATAATTAATGGACGAATAGTGAATAGTGCAATTTTTCCTTGAAGAAATTGACAAATGTGCAACACAAATTCCATCCAGAGTCTTTGTAAATAAAATGATGGTAAGTGGAAACATTTTGGTATATATATCATCTTGGCTCCCCCAAGTTCCTAAGCCCAATGAGAAAGATGGAGACCGAAGTGAAGTAAGTCAGGCCGTGAACGGGGCCCACCACATCCAAAACCCCTTTCAACGCCTTGAGGCGTGCACAATCAGCCATTTTCATCAGCTTCAACAGGCGGCCCTTCAACATTTTCAGTGCCTCGTCGACCATTTTGTCGACCTCAGCCATGGCTGTGGGGCTCCCGCTTCTGTCGGCTTCCATCCCCATACGCATCAGCTCCAGCATTTCGGGGTCGGCAGTGGCCACATTGTGTAGACTCCGCATCTCACTCTCCACCTTCTCCTCCTCCGTCTTTATCTCCGCTCGCACACGTGCCATCTTATGCCTCTGCTCATCGCTCAACTTCATCGACTCCGCCAGCTGGAGAGCAGACGAGGGCTTCCACCCGGTGACCCACATGCGGGCCTTCTCGAATGGGTTCAGCCACTCGGCCGCGTAGAAAGCCGCTATGTCTTCTTCGGCCGCGGCCCATTTTCGAGTGTAGTACGCCTTGTGGTGGGCGGTCAGTTTGTCGAGCCTACTTTTCGGAATTGACTCGTCTCTGTCCGATTCAACTAGCTTTTCGAGTTCTGCCATCCATTCCTTGTGGAAATCTGAAAAGTTATGTTCCATCAGTTGTCTTTTTTATTTTTTATTTTTTTTTTTTTTTGATCTTCTTGCCGAGTTGGTAATAGATATTAGGGTTTATGCAGGAACTATTAAATATTTATGATTTTGAATGCATAAAATGGACATGTTTCTACACGTGCTATATATATGTGTCAATTGGAGAACACCAGAAAATACACATCACCTACATGTGATGGTGTACGTGTCAGTTGGAGAACACAAATTATTCAACATTACATATCTTTGCGAACCATGTATACTCACACTCGAATTTAAACGTGGCCACAGGCTACCCTGCCCGTCGGTCTAGCACGAACCCGGTCCAGTCAAACCCGTTGACCACAGGTACAGGCCCAGTTTCAACAAGGCCGGTGCAGTGCCTTGATTTTCCAACCATAGTCTGACGGGTCGGGCCGGGCCAGATCAGTTCCGGCATGAAAAAAAATACTTGGTTTTTATATTTTTTTGCACGGGCCCATACCTTGGGTTGGGCCCGGCCCGCCTCGCCGGACTATGGACCCGGCAGGACCTAGGTCCGCGCCAGTTTCAGTTCTATGAAATCCAACCCGGCGGGCCCGGCCGTGTTTTGGCCAGATCTACTCTAACCCCCTGGTAGTTACCCCGTCCGTATACATACACATATAATTCCCTTAATTCTTTGTTAGTTCTTTGGAATAAGTTCATTAAAATCCACAAAATTCAACAAGTTGCATCTTATTTATCTATTCAAGGCTTTGAAATTGGAAAAAAAAATGATGAGAGAAACGAAAAAAAAAATAAAAAATCCACAGCACTTCATCAAATAATCACGAGGTTGAGAGTGGACATAGACTTCTATGATAATTTAGGCAATATAGCAGAAAAAGTTAGATAGGGTCAAAATTATTGCTACTTTCTGTCAAGTAACAAAATTATTAGATGCTTTAAATATGATGAGCTTCGAGAAAGGAAGACCTATCGGAGTTCAACTGGGCCACCGCCACGGCAATCATTAGACCATCGAAAACTCCTCCACGACAACGTTAATTATCAGCAAAGTGTTTACCCCATGTACGGGACTGCCGCCTATGTGGCACCGGGAGTGATCAACAAGCGTGGTTACGATGTGGAGAGGGCCAAGATCCCAAGTATTTCCAACTCATGGAAATGTAGGTCTCAGAGAATCGATTTCGACATTAATGAAACTTCCCCATGGAGCGTACTCAAGATAGTCGACTCAAAGTATGCATGCCTTAGACATCATCTTGTTGTGGCAGGGGAGGGCCGTGGTGGGGGAAGCTGGCAGAGAGAGTGAGCTCCAAGGTAATGAACAGAAAAATGGCTGCCATTTTCGTAAACTCATTGTCCTCTGTGTATTTATTATATATTTTTCAAGGTTGCAAGTTTTCTTTCAAGTGAACCAATAATCTCAAAACTTCAACTCTGATCAAATACTTTCTGTTTGATATGGTCCTCTGTTGTTACTGGAAATAGGTGTTGATTAAAGAAGCCAAGACAAGCAAAGGTTCTTATAAGCATAGAGACCGCCAGAAAGAATACCAATGACTCGTCACAAAGCCAACATTTCCAACTTAATCACACAATGCCTTTTGTATATAACATCACTGCAAAAATTGGTCGTCATGCAATATGCCACAAAGTTAGTAATTTGATGACACGGTTTAAACGGAAAGCAAATGCTTTTCATAAGTTAAAATATGCAGGTACACGAAACAGAACCTGTTACCTATACATATAGTTACTACCACAAACCAAGAAAACATTATTCATCAATCGGACACCAAACAATATATACAAGACATGTATTCTCAGGAACAACTTACTCCGACCATCGCATTACGGAGAAAACAGAACCACGAAATTAAAACATGTACAAACAGTAGCAAGAAAGAACAAAAAAGAGAGGTGTACCCCTTTGAACATCATTCGCTCTCCCTCTCTCTGCACTTGGCATCCAAAGCCAATGATGAAGTATTAGCAGCACCATTCCCCACCGCGAGAGTCTGCAATCCTGGCCTCAACTCGTTATTACAGAACTCCTCATACTCCGTTCTATCTCCTCCTTTCATCCTAACCTCCACCACCCTTAACGAGGGTGTCAACTCGAATATCTCAACCGCAATAGTCAGAGGGCCCTTTACACCCTCCCTCGACCCTTCCAAACTCACCCGGAAGTCTTTCTTCCTCACCGTAAAACTCACAATCCTCGCAATCTCCTCCAACTTGGAGATTATCTTAGGCTCAGGCGCCCCCGAAACAAACCTCGTGCACCCATCTGAACCTTCTTCAAACAATCCCGACAAGTCAAACCCACGAGAAAACGAAATAATATCAAACGCATTCAAGCTAGCTGGCCTTGGGAGACTGGCCGTCCTCCTTTTTGTCTCCAGCTCGGAATCTGATTCTGAGCATGTCTGATCAGACAAACAGAAAATATCATCTTTTTCTGAAACATCTGAGCTGCAAAACTTGTCGTCCTCGATGTAGAACTTGACGTGCTTGAAACCCCTTTTGAACCAGGGGTCGCTCATGATTTCAGGGATCGTGATGCGCGTGTCGGGGTTGGTGTCGAGCAGGCGGGTGAGTAGGCGGACGAGGTCATGGGAGAACCACCGAGGACACCTGAACTCACCCCGGTTGATTTTCTTGTACATGGCCATGACATTCTGGTGGTGAAAGGGCAGGTAGCCCGCCATGAGGACAAAGAGAATGACCCCGCAGCTCCAGATGTCGACCTTGGCCGCGTCATACCCCTTCCTGGAGAGGACCTCCGGCGCCACATAAGCAGGTGTTCCGCAGAAGGTATGGGACAGGCCGTCTTGCTTGATCTGCTCCGATATGGCGCTCAGCCCAAAATCGGAGACCTTGAGGTTGCCGTCCTCGTCGAGGAGGATATTCTCCGGCTTCAGATCGCGGTGGTACACGCCCCGCGCGTGGCAGAAGGCCACGGCGGAGATCAGCTGCTGGAAGTACTTCCGGGCGAGCTCCTCCTTGAGCCGGCCCTTGGCGACCTTGCCGAACAATTCGCCGCCCCGGACGTACTCCATCACGAAGTAGATTTTGGACTTGGTCGCCATGACCTCTAACAGCTGCACGATGTTCGGGTGGCGCACGCGCCTCATGATTGAGATCTCGCGCTTGATGTGGGCGGTTAGGCCGACCTTGAGAATCTTCTCCTTGTCAATCAACTTGATGGCCACGCCCTCCCCCGTCCGCACGTTCCGCGCGTGGTACACCTTCGCGAAGGACCCCTGGCCGATGAGCTTCCCGATGTCGTATCGGCCGAGCAAAACCCCCTGCGCCCCTTTCTGCTTCGGGACTTTCAAGCCGGAGCTTGCTGTCGCCGCCATGGATTGAGCCGTTAGATACCGCCGCCGGCTGTAGTCGTGGTGATTAAGCCAAGGGTTTCAGAATTCAGTCGATGGAGTCCAGCTTCCTCAATCACGAGCTTCTCGTTTATAGTGCACTGCGTATATATTTTATCTTTTCAATTTTCTGTGAGGGCTACGAAAGGTGGAGAAGCTGTTGGTCATTAGCTACTAAAGAAGACAAAAACGTACCACCGTATTTTATAATTGGACAAAATAGAAAGGAAATTGTCAAGGCTTAAAACACAAGATGCACCGTACAGCTGGAGGTTGCATTAGAAAATATAATATGACTAATGTAATTAACAAGAGGACATGTATAACTTTTGAATTTTTTTATTAGGTTTGTTCATGTTATTTGAAGATTAAATTTATTTATATGTCACGTATGTAAAATTAAACTTCATGTATTGTGGGTGTTCTTAGGGCACGTTTGATTGGGCAGAGTAGACAGTATTATGGGCTTAGTCTGGGCTCAATCTTATGAAAGGACGACTTTGCTGCTCGATTGCACGGGATGTTGCTCGTTGATGGCGCACAGCGAGGCTCTCCGAACAGAGAAAAAGAACGCCTAACGATAGGATTTTTAAGTCGGGATCAAACCTGGATTTCAGTTGGGGTCTGCTCGATCGAACAGTGGTGGAACGGAGAAGAAGAAGAAGAAGAAGAAGAAGAAGAAGAAGAAGAAGAAGAAGAAGAAGAAGAAGAAGGGACATATAAGAATGGAGAGAAGAGAAAAGAAAAGAATCCTCATTAATAGAAAATCAGTATTGGCCAATAACTGCAAAATCACGTTACATCCGCCACTTCCTTAATGAAATATAATTATGCATAAATAGAATTCTGGTATTTATGCAAATAAATTACCTAGTTTTAGTTATTCTGCTAATAAATACATATGGAGTGTAAATATATAATAAAAAGTTTCTTGTGTAGTGGAGTAGGTAATTTTCTCTTTTAATTATTATTTGATTTGATCTGGAGGTAAGATTATTTGCATCTGTACAATATTTATTTGATCATATTATACTCATAAAGTGTATAGCATTAGAGCACGTTTGATAGGGAAGATAGAAAGGATTGCACCTCTAGTCGGGCCATAATCTAGTGTTTGTTTCCCCGATTTTCGGCCCTCCCGATAGGATCAGGCCCGTGACGCATAAATCCTGAGAAAGCGAGATATTTTTTTTTTTGGTACAGGGACCTTCTGGTTTCCGGATCCACAGGGAAACCGACTAATCCGGAATCGAGTCGGGTAGGACCACAAGGGCAGCAAAGCTCTCCCTCAAGAGTTTTAACACTGCTGTATTCCCAGGGCTCGAACTCGAGACCACTGGTTAAGCTGGAAGAGACCCAAGCCATCTCATCCAAGCGCTCTTGGGTAGAAAGCGAGATATTTTGATCTAGGGGCAAGGGGTATGATTTTGTCCAGTCTGCACAGTGGATGGGGTCAAATTTACAATATTGTCCCTTATTAATAAAAAAATAAAAGTTACCCATGCTGAATTTGGCCCTATTTTGTCCTTCCAAATCAAACTACACACTGTGCTTCTTCCTTCCATCACAGCCATAGTCTTCCTCTGCTTAGAAACAAATATATTGTCGGATACTTCGTGCTTAGACTTTCTTTTTTCTGGTAATTCAGATCTTTAAGAACAAACTGCTAAAATTTGGGAAAAAACCGGGAGTTAGCGGCGGAGGTCGGGATTTGCTTTCTCAGGTGAGTTATAATTGTCTGATTACTCTATAGAGAAATGAAGGGTTGAGTTGATGATGATTGTTAGATTAAGGGGTTAATTGAATTGTTGATTTATAGAAGATGTTAATGCACAAAAATTTTGTCTACTTTTTACCATGTTTTCTTTTTTGTTCCTTTATTAGAATTTGGGTTCTATATTGGTAGCTGTTGTAAGGAAAAATTAGTTTTGTACCGATTTAACGATTCTATTTTTCGTAAATAGAATACTTAGAAAAGTCTCAAAATCTTTTTAAGGTGAATGAGAAATTAATTCTAAGTGTTATATTTTAATTAATCGAGTTTAAACAACTCAAAAGGTTGTAGGGTTCACAAACATTATATTTTAATAAATTTTGGACAAACTAAACGAGCCATAAATATGCATTATGTATGCTAGAATTGTAGATGGGCTCGTTGGGGACAAGTAAGAAAAAACGGAACTCGATTCCTAGTCCGTATGAGCTCGTACGAGCCCGCGGGGCACGGGCGCGCAACTGGCTGCAGAAATCGAAGGGTCGCAACCCTTGGTAACCATAAAGTATCTTTTGGCCACTAGATACATCCGTTCTTGTTCGGACACGTCCCAAAAGGTGTATTTTGACACTTAAACCTCTTGGAGGTGTATCCTTACATCTATAAATATCCACTAACATGAAATCATTCAAGACATCAAATAATTCCATAACTTTTGCATCCTTTTTACAAAGTTCATATTCATCTTGTGTTATTTGTGTTCTTTCCTATGTTGAGAGTTCCGAAACTTAAGTATTGTTCGCCGAAGGTTTGTGTATTTGAGTTACCACTATACACAAATCAAAAGTTGTTGTATCTTGGAGGCGTTAGCCGTGAACCGTGGGTAATATACGGGGCTATTTCGTCTTAAGGAGAGCATATCTTACGTGCCTCGACTTTGTTCGTTTTACCAAAATTCCTTCTATTTCTTAAGCCATTTTCTTGAAATTCACATACAAAAACAGAATTTATAAACTACAGCTATACATATTTTATTTCAAGCTGAAAATGAACTAGGAATCATTTTCCACGAGGAAGAAAATCTTGTTACGAGTTATAATTAGTTGGGTGTTGTTTGCTCTTTGTTTGGGTGAGGGACTTGAAAGCCTCAAAATGGAGGTTGAGAATTTATTGCCATTGCATTTGTTAAATTGCAGGCTTTGTACAACTGAAGCAATTACAACAGTCTTTGCCTTTTAAAACAATTTGCTAAGATTGTTTTGAGGTGAAATAACTTTGAGCAAAAAAAGTTTGTTGTTGTCTTTGTTATGGAATTTTGGTTCTTTAAAAAAAAAATTGAGAGAAACTTGTTTGCGGTAGGAATCGGC